CCTCCGACACAGAGACCTCACCAGAGCCTTCCCCAGACTCCAGGACTGGCCCAGGTTCCTCCCCAACCTCCTCACTCTCCGAATCCGCTCCCAGCTCCTGTCTTATTTTCAAGGAAACAGGGGTAGTAATGTAGTAGTAGTAGTACATATGGTAGTAGTGTTGTATATAGATGACTTTAATATTGTTGCTGAACAGCTACTTATTCAAAATTCTCGAGACACTAGACTAATATTGGTATTTTATCCTGGTTTCTGACAGGGGTCGGCAGAATATTTCCTCAACAGCGGAGACAAAATCAGATTCTTTTTCGAAAAAGGTGTTTTTGATCAAAAAGGTACTGTCCCCCCCCCAAGGCACCTTGACGCCCCTGTTCTATGCAATCTGTTGTGCTGTTCTTTTAAACCCAGATTTTTCTTTTTTAATTGGCAGGGGACTTTCTGGTTCCAAAGGAGAAATCGATCAATAAAATCGGTCACGGTAAGTAAAGGCCCACTGGGGACTCCCTAAGAAATAGTTAATGCAAGTTTGGGGGGAAAAAAATGGAGTTCTATTAGTGACCGTTCCAAGTTACAAAGACACTGAAAAACTGACTTACGGCTGTTGCAGCATCCCCCTGTGGTCACGGGATGAAGATTCAGACACTGACTCATATTTATGACCTCGCCGTGTCCCTTTTGCGAAGCCAAGTCAACAGGGAAGCAAGATTCCCTTAACAACCCTGTGACTGGCTTTACAGCTGCAGCGATTCCCTTAACAACTGTGGTGGGAAAGGTCGTAAAATGGGGCAAAACTCACTTCACAAATGTCTCACCTACCAACAAATAAATGTTGGGCTCAGTTCTGGTCGTAAGTCGAGAAACTACCTGTAATGAGTTGGCAAGTTACTAAAAGTTCAGATCTAGGTGTGATAAAAGAGAATTCCCCCCCACCCCCCCTGGCAAGTTTGAGCCAGTTCGTACCTGACTTTTTCTAGGATTTTCAATAAGTAGCACTTATGATAGTTAATTTATTTTATTTATTAAATTTATATAATGCACATCTGACTTATTACCGATAAGGCAGTTTGTGACACTTATGCCATTATAATCAAAACAATTCTTACATCAGTACGATGATTGTGACTGTTTCTAGCCCTTCATGCCTACGATCCCGTCTTCAAGCAAATCACCCACTCGGCCAAGGTGCAGGTGAGTGGAATGCTGGCCAACACTGCAGGGCTGTTGTAGGAAGAGCAAACTCTGGCCATCTCTACAAGCCTCTCCATCTTTTGGTTATAAGACAGGAAATTGACTGGCATTGGATCTGCCTTTCTGCTTGTTCAGTCCTTCACGACACCCCTGCAAAGTAAGCCCAGAGGTCTGTGTAGATTTCCACAGAGTGTAGCATGCTGGGGCCGGTTTTAAATCCAGCTATTGGGGCTTTTACAAGGCGATGTAAGGTTTTTACCACCATGATGATTTAGTTAACCAAACCACGGTTCAAAGAACTGATCGCTTAACCAATGTTGGTAACCCGTCTCTGAGTGAGAGGGGGAAAGAGTGCTTTTAATTCTGCTTTAATTGACAAAATGTTGGGAGGAAGTGTGTGCTCGGGCTGCAAGGGAAAACAGAGAAAAATGAACATTTTCTTAACATTTTGGGACATTCCGCAGGCTTTAGCAAGGAATTTGAGTCTGGAGAATCCTGTGGTGGTGCAAAGCATGTACATCTTCAAGGTACGTGAAGCCAGCCTTTTAAAAAATAGGCAGGTGGGGGATTCATGGAAGGTGGAGGGCTCCTCAGAGACCACCTAGTCCAACCCCTGCCCGCAGTGGGAACCCACTACTTAGAATTCCAGATTCCACGGCTTGGAAGGGACCCCAGAGACCATCTAGTCCAATTCTTTCCCCAAACTAGAAACTAATTATTATTGCAATGGATGATTTTTTTTAAAAAAATCAACTTTCCCCTTCTGGTTTAATAGTCTCTTTTTTTTTTTACTCGTTTTATAGCAACCGGGCATTGGTGGGGAAGGTGAGTTTCTTACAGTGTTCTTCTAGCATTTTCCCTATGGGGGCTGCCCTGGAGATGTTGGATTCCAACTCCCATTGTCCCCTGCAGGAAAGGGAGTGAAAGTCACTGTGCTGCTCAGTCATTCCAGTTGATCCCGTGCCCCTCCCCAACCCCACTCATCCTGGGGGACGGGACGTAGAAAATTGTGGGTGTTTCATAAACTTGATCACAAATTTGGTCACTTACTTGTAAAAATCATCTTAATCAGCGTTGCCTCCGAATTGGTAAGTTGTCAAAAGATTCACATTGCACACAATGCAGAAAAGAGGCTGAGATTCTAGAAAGAGTGCAGAGAAGAGGCTTAGGGGACTGGAGGCTAAAACATGCTCCAACCGTGGAGGTTTTTAAGATGCTGGTTAACCATTTGTCTGAAGTGGTGTAGGGTTCCCTGCCTGAGCATGGGGTTGGACTAGAAGACCTCCAAGGTCCCTTCCAACTCTGTTATTCTATTTTATTCACTGCACACAATGTGGTTCAGCTGTGAATTTATTAAATCAGTTTCCTGATTGCAATCCAAAAAAGGAGCCTAGATTAGAATAAAACAGAAACGTTTGTGGTTTAGGATTGTTTGAAGGCAGCTTGTTGGGAGTTTACAAACCACGATTCTGCAAACAAGCCACTTGGGGTTGAAGGTTAGGTCTCGTCTCTGCTTCTTTCAGTGACGCCCCATCAGGATGCGACGTTTCTGCACACAACTCCTTTGGGCAAAGTGATGGGCTTCTGGATCGCTCTGGAAAACGCCACCCAAGAAAACGGCTGTTTGTGGTTTGTTCCCGGCTCACATACAAGTAAGAGGGGAAGATGCTGAGAATGGTTGCATCAGTTTAAGGAACAAACTGAATCGATCAAAACAAAGGGAGGCCCCTAAAGCTTCTCCTCCTCCTGATTTGCTTCCCAGCTGGCATCACACGGCGGATGGTCCGGACTCCCCCGGGGACGATCCCTTGCACCGATTTCATCGGCACCGAGCGAGTGTACGAAGACGGGCAGTTTGTCCCCGTGCCAGCGGGCAAAGGTAGGGTGGCACCGCTGGAAAATCTTAAGTGGGCCAAGCCACATCCGAAGAATAAGCTAGGGAGGGAAGTTGGTTCTCTTCTCCTGGAAGGGGAAACAGAATTTGGGGGCACACGGATATGGGGAGGGGGGGGAGGTGGCTAAAATCCCACCATTCAGATCAGGGGTCTCCAAATTTGGCAACTTTTAAGACTTTTGGGCTTCAACTGCTAGAATTCCCCAGCCAGCCATTGAGAGTTGAAGACAGCAAGTCTTAAAGTTGCCCAAATATGGGGACCCCTGAATTAGGCCCATTTTAAATCTAGGTCTTTCCCTCCTTTGAATGGGAGAATCCAAACCACTGCAGCTAGTCCTTGAGTTAAAAAAAAAATGGTTTAGTGACTGTTCAGTTATAACGGCACTGAAAAAAAGTGTCCGTTTTCCACACTTAATGACCATTCCAGCATCCCCTTGGAGGTGTGAGAAAATCTGGACGCTTGGCAACTGATTCATATTTATGACAGTCACGCGATCCCCTTTTGCGGCAAGAATGGGGCAGAAGCCCCTTAACAACTGCCTCGCTTAGCAACAGGAATTTTGGGTTCAATTGTGGTGATACGTTGAGGACAGGATCTGTTTTAGAGATTGGTTGATAGGACGCATCACCTTGGCTTTATCCTTGTTCTGAAAGTCCTTTGCAAATGGCTTGGAAATATTCTACTGTGCAGGAGAAGCAATTAGGGAGTTGCGCTTGATGAATGACAACGACGACACTCCTGGCTTTTCCCTAAAAAGGGTTGTGACTCCTCACTTGCACAACTTTTGCCATGGAAACGCAACTCATCCCCGATCCCTACTTTTCTAACTAAACCAGCCAAAATTGGCCATTTGCTGCCCTCTTCTGGGAAAAGCGGTTCTAATAAATAAACTGCCACCGTCGGCTTAACAAACACTCTGAGTCACAATAGGGCTGGATGAAGTGGCTTACAACCGGTCCTCGCATTTGTGACCCCTGCAGCATTCCCCGTGGTCATGTGATCTCGCTCCTGGTGCTCAGCAACATGGCTTGCATTTACAGAGAGTCCTCAACTTATGACTGTAGCTGAACTTGGAATTATAGGTCGTAAGTCACGGCCGTATTATTTTCATCTCTTGTCACTTTAATCTTTTAACTATTTTTTTTTTTTACTTGTTTGATAAGTTGCAAGGAGCCCGGAGTCAAACTTGTCAGTGAGATGGGAGCCATGGAAATTGAATCAATAAAAGTGTGTTGCGAATTTTAAACTATTTTTTTACTTATTTTGCTTTTCTTTTTTGCTTCTTTCGTTGCAAGCCGCCCGGAGTCCTCCAGGATTGGGCGGCCTATAAAATTTAATAAATGAAATGAAATGAAAATTAAATGTGACCCACCCGATGTTGGGATATTTTTTGCGGCAATTTGTTAAACAAACACGGTGGTTCTTAAGTGAACGCTGCAGTCGTTAAAATGAATCTGT